GAGAAAGGGATCCCAGAAGGGACCAGGGCAAAATATAGCCCACAGGGACATGGCCCTACCTCCCACCCTTCACCACTTCTCAAGAAGGCCCGTCATAATATTATGAATCCATCAATGGTTAATCCGGTCATTAGATTTGAACCCTCTTTATCTCTGTAACTGCCTTTCAGATACTCTTGGAGGTGTGCTTCTCTAATCTCGTAGGCGTTCCTCAGTCCAATCAAGCAGGCAATTAAAGTTAATCTTCACAGTGGGGAAGTCATGTATTTAACAAACATTACTGGGGAATTTATACCATGGCTGGAGCTGTACTGGTTGCTATGGATAAAAGGGAATAAGATAATACTGCTTTTAAGGATCTTTGAGTCTGAGCTGGGTGTGGTGGTGCATGCCTCTAGTCCCAGCATTCGGGAGGCAGAGGCAGTCGGATCTAAGGCCAGCCTGGTCTACATAGTGAGTTAGTGAGTTGCAGGACAGCTGGGGCTACAGGGAAACCCTATCTCAAAAAAGACCTACATAAATAAATAAAAAGGATCTTTGAGTCCAATGGTAAAAACAGGTAAATTTAATATAATGAAGGTGGGAGGAACAATAAGGTTCTGGTCACCTTTTTATCATATCTACCATGTAAAGGAAGAGATAGGTGAATGATTATAGAGGGAGATAAGGGGTTAACAATGGGAATACAGAAGAGGAATACCAGATTTAATTTTCAGGGATTTTAAAGGGTTTCCCATATGAGTGTTTTAGTCTGCTTTTTAGTTATTGCATACTTTTGGGCAACTAATTCTGTTTTAAAAAGTATTTTAGGAGGCTGGAGAGATTGCTCAGTGGTTAAGAGCACTGGCTGCTCTTTCAGAGGACCTGGGTTTGATTCCCAGCACCTACATGGTGGCTAACAACCATAAGAAACTCCAGTTCCAGGGGAACCAGATGCCTCTTCTGACCTCCTTGGGCATTGCACTATGCAGGTACACTTACATACTTGCAGGCGATACACTCATATATATAAAATGAAAATAATAAATCAGTTTAAAAATTATTTTATAGTTATTTATTGTGGAGTGAATGTGTGTGTGTGTGTGTGTGTGTGTGTGTGTGTGTGTGTGTCTACTTAAAGGACAAGTTGCAAGAATTGGTTATCTTCATCTACAATGTGGGTTCTGGGCATTGAATTCAGCTTGGTGGCAAGCACCTTTACCTGCTGAACAAGATTTACTGGCATGTCAATTATGTTTTAAACACTAATTATGAAACAGTATATTCAAATAGCACAACAGTGTATGAAGAAAAAGACTAGCTTTGATGAATATTAGAACTCTTTTTTGTGGCACTGGGGATCATACTGACACAGCAAACAACAGTAAAGGCTCATTAAGGGAAAACTAGTTCCTTCTGCCCAAGGGGATAAAATATCTGGCTTGGTTGAAGACCTAACATTCCAAACTACCCCAAATGTAAATGACTTAATCCAGTGGGCTCCTCAGCTGCCTGGCCACTGGGAGATTCTACTGGGTGTGGCCTTTCTAAGCCCTGACCCAGAAACGTATAACTTTTTTTTTTTTTTTTTTTTTTTTTTTTTTTTTCCTGTCTCTGTCTTTCCAATGCTGGCCAGGACATAGGTGTTTTTTCTGGTACTGTGTTTTTCATTCCTACCATGTGGTTACTTGTATCCCATGGGACTCACCTCCATGCTGGCTTAACTCAAAGGACACAGTTTTTTCGTCTTCTCCATTCTACAGGCTGCTACTGAGATTTATAGCTTGCCTGCCTTAGGTTTTTCTTTTGAACTTTAATGAAATTGTCCACTTTGAATAAACTTTTTTTTTTTTTTTTTTGTCTTTTTGAGACAGGGTCTCACTGTAGCAACAGCTGGCTTGGAACTCACTATGTAGACCAGGCTGGCCTCAATCTCATAGAGATTGTCTCTGCTTCCCAAGTGCAGGGATTAAAGGTGTATACCACCACACCTGGCACACTTTATTTTTTTTAAACCAGTTCTCAGTTGGTGAACATTTAAGTTTTTTGGTTTTTCACTATTACACATAAGTTGGAAAAAAACCCTTAGTTTATACAACATTGTATACTAGGGCTAATATAATTTTGAACTACATGAGTTAACCTATGTGGCTAATTTCTATAAAGTTATTGAAAGAATTAATTAAACTAATTTATTTAATTCTTATAGCGAGCTTGGTTAAAAAAGTGTTTGTTCCCTTCCCTCAAACCACATAATGTTATGTTCTTTTATAGATTAAAATAATCTATTATGTGATAAGTTACTTGTTTAGACTTCATTTAATAAGTAAAATAAAATGATGGAAAATCTGGTATTTATTCCTAAAAGATCCTTGTATTCAACTATCTTTTTTTCTATAATTAGATAAATAACACATGCTCTTAGCAATTATAAAGATCCTCTATTAGTCTGATAGCTAGAAATAAGTTTTTTTTTCTTTTAAATATTTGTAAGCACCCTCCTTTTGGCTTAAGAAAATTTTATTTACTTATTATTTTAAAAAATATTTTGTTATTTTATGTGTATTGTCTGCATGTGTGTAAGTGCACCTGTGTCACACAATGCTTGCTCTTAGAGGTCAGATGAAGGCATCAGATTCCCTGGAACTGGAGTTACTGAGGGTTGTTAGCTGCCATATGGGTGCAAAGAATCAAACCCGGGTCCTCTGAAAGAGCAGTCAGTGCTTTTAATTGCTGAGCCATCTCTCCAGGCTAAATTTTTAATTAAAAAAAATTTATATGTATGTTTTGCCTTCATGTACATAAGTATATCACATGTGTGCCTGGTGCCTGTGGAGGTCAGAAGAGGGCAAGAGATCCCCTGGAGCTGGAGTTAAGGACCAGTGTTAGCCACCATATGGATGCTGGGAACCAAACCTCTGGAAGATTAGCAAGTGCTCTTAACCACGAAGCCATCTCTCCAGTCTCATAAATAGTTTGTATTTTTGTTGTTTTGAGACATGGTCTCCCTGTAGTCCCAACTGGCCTGGAACTTGCTATGTAGCTCAGGCCAGCCTCAGTCTCAGAGAGATCCACCTGCCTCTGCCTCCAAATAGCTGCAATTAAAAGCATGTACCACCATTCCTGACATTTTTCTGCTTTTAAAATATTTTGGTTTTATTATTTTACTTTTTTTATGTGTATGAGTGTATTGTCTGCATACATGTAAGTACACCCATGTTGTGCAATGCCCATGGAAGTCAGAAGAAGGTGTTGGATCTCCTGGAACTGGAGTTACAGATGGTAGTGAGGATGGCCTTGAACTCCTGATCCTCCTGCTTCTACCTCCCCAGTGCTGGGAATACAGATGTGCACCACTAAATGTAGCATTTTACAGTTTTTCTTTCTTGATTCTGTCAGTGGCCACAAGGGCAGGCTGAGAAACAGTCATGCTGTAGCAGTCTGACTAGTTCTTTCTAGAGACTTCCATTCAGATAAAGGTCAGATCTTTGATTTCACTGCAGGAAGACATTTCAGGACAAGCCAGGATTAAGCAGAGTTGGAGTATATTAAGAGATTATTAGCATGGATTTCAGCACAGGAGTCACTAGAAAGAGAGGGACACAGTGAAAGAAGAAAACACACTGGGGCATGGAGTAGGCATTTTAAGGTACATAGTCCATTATCTTTTCAGATAAAGGTCAGATCTTTGATTTCACTGCAGGAAGACATTTCAGGACAAGCCAGGATTAAGCAGAGTTGGAGTATATTAAGAGATTATTAGCATGGATTTCAGCACAGGAGTCACTAGAAAGAGAGGGACACAGTGAAAGAAGAAAACACACTGGGGCATGGAGTAGGCATTTTAAGGTACATAGTCCATTATCTTTACAATGTTCATATGTAAAATTTGGGGGGGGGGTCGAGTTATTAACTTTAAAACATTTCTAAAGAATTTACAAAAGATCATAGGGTGATTCCTGATCTGCACCTGGCAGAATTATAGCTGATAAGGTAAAACCGTAGATCTTAAGAGTTATAATGGAAGTTAGAGTATCACTGTAAACACCAAACCAAAAACAGTTAATAACATAATGTTGAGATTCCCAGAAAATGTGATTAAGGCCACACTCAAGGTTATGTATACTCGGTCCTTAAGCATGGTCCGTTGCTGTTTCAATATTCCTTTTTTTTCAGGATTTTATTACTTTAATTTTATGAATATGAATGTGTTGCCTACATGTATGTAAGTGTACCCGTGTCGTGTAATGCCCTTAGATCTCAGAAAAGGGTGCTGGATTCCCCTGGAGCTGGAACTGCAGATGTTTTTAGCCACCATGTGGGTGCTGGGAATGGAACCTAGGTCCTCTGCAAGAGCAGTCAGTGCTCTTAACCATTCAGCCATCTCTCCAGCTCCTATTTTAATGTTCTTATTGGAAGTAGCTGTGTACAAAAAGCAATCTTCACAGCAAGTGTTGTCCATTGTGCTGTGTAATTCCTGATTCGCAGCTGGCAAAAAGGAGCTCCTTTCCTTCTCGTGTCCCCATCATCTTCCCTGTCTTTCTGTCCTGCCCAGTTTCACATCATTCTTAGAAATAGGAGCATGAAAGTGGGTGTTGTGGCTTAGAAGAGATAAAGTGAATTTGAGGCCAGCCTAGGGCTACATATCAAGTTTCAGGCCAGTCTGAGCTACACAGTAAGATCTTAGCTCAAAAAATTAGAAGCAACCTAAGTAGCATAAATGTTTTCTTTTAATATATAATTATTTTTATGAACACAAGTATGGTATGATGCAGAAGTTGGATTAAGACCTAAAACAGAGCTGAGTGTTCTGGGCTATGCCTGAAATCCCAGGACTTGGAAGGTGAAGGCAGGAGAATCTGGTGTTCAAGGTCATCCTCAGCTATACAGCTCCTTAGGGGCCAGCCTGAAAGACGAGAATTCACCACCCCCTCCTCCCAAACTCACCTAAAACAAACCAGTGTACATCTGGTACAATCAATGTATTAATGACTTTTCTGTTGCTGTGATAAAATGCCAAGCTCAAAGGTAAATTAAGGAAGAAAGAGTTTATTTGGTCTTCTGTTTTCAGAGGGTGATCCATAGCAGTGGGGAGGCATGGCAGCAGGTGGCTGCAGCAGGAAGCTGAGGGATCATACTTTTAACTGCAAACATGAAGCAGAGAGAGTAAACTGGATGTTGGGTGAGGCTGTAAACTCTCAAAGCCTGCCTTCAATGATGTACTTCCTCCAGCAAGGCTACACTTCCTAAAGGTTCCATAACCTCTTAAACAGCACCACCAACAGAAGACCAAGTGTTCAAATACGTGAGCCTATGAGGGACATTCTCATTCAAACAACCACATTTCACTCTCTGGCCCCATAGGCTCATGACCATAACAGAGTGCAAAAGCATCGGGTCGAACATTAGTCCCCGTGGCCTTTTACAGTTTCAACACTGTTTCAAAGTCTCTTTTGAGACTCAAGGTAATCTCTTATTTAACAGTGACTCACTATTAAATAAAAAAATTGCATATGCTGGGCATGGTGGTACATACCTTTAATCCCAGCACTCGGGAGGCAGAGGCAGGCAGATCTCTGTGACGGCCAGGTCTACAAACAAAACAAATAAAACCAAACAATCATGACATAATTCCAACATACAACTGCACAGATTATACATTCTCATTCCAAAAAGGAGGAATGGGGGCCTAGTAAACAAATATGGACCAAAGCAAGACCAAAGTCCAGCAGGGCAAATACAAAATTCTGTAGTTCCATGTTCTGTGTCTGGGACTTCAGTTTCAAAGGACTTAGATGGCTCTACCCCTCTAGCTTTGCTGCCTAGAACATACATTTCTCTCTTGGGTTTGTTCTACTCCCTGTATGAAGCTCTCCTTGGCAGATGTCTCATGGTTCTGGCATCTTCAACATCTTGGGGGGTCTCCACTGCAACCTTCATTTTCACAGCTTCATGCAATGGCCTCTTAGGGGGTCTTGGCCTCTCAGGGCCTTCTTAGAGAGACTTCAGCACTGCCACATGCTGCTGACCTCAGCAGCTTTCTGAAACTGCAGAAGAATCCTGCTGAAATTTCATCCACCAAAGAAATTAGTTCACTATGTTTAATATTAGCCTCAGGCAAGATCTTAAGGGTAGAAGCAGCTAGATTCTTTGCCAAAATATCACATGAATGGCCTCTAGCCCAATTGCTAAGAGATTTTATTCTCCTCTGAAACTTCATGAACTGGGCTTCCACTTTCCACATTACTCTCAGCATTACTGTCTTCCAGGAACCTACTAGAATGATTTTTAAGCTCTGCTTACAACATCCAACTGCTTTTCTAGCCCAAAATTCTAAAGCCTTTCTCCAAAAACCAGCATGGTTGGGTTCTTCACAGCAATAACTCTGTCTCCCGGTACCAACTTCATGGGTAGTAGAGGAGGGTAGTTTTAAATACTAAGGCTACATGACCTGCTGCAGAAATGAGGATTATAACTGATGAGTGTTGTGGGGCATGTGCGGCAAGCCTTTAATCCCAGTACTTCGGAGGCAGAGGCAGGCAGATCTTTGTGAGTTCAAGGCCAGCCTGATCTACATATTGAGTTCCAAGGCAGCTGGGGTTACAGGAAAACCCTGTCTCAAAAAAGACTTGATATATCACAGTGAAAGATTTATCGTCCTCTTTTTTTTTTTTTTTTTTAAAAAAAAAAAAAAAAAAAAAAAAAAAAAAAAAAAATTGCTGAGTGTTTCCATCTTATTTTGTTAAGAATGCATTTGTGCATATATACACCATTAAGGTGATAGTTCCCTTCTTTCCTCTACTTTAAAAAAATTATTTAAAATTTTTTTTGTGTATGAGGCTATTGCCTGCATGTAATTGTACTTGTGTCATGCAATGACTGCAGAGGTCAGAAAAAGGCATAGGATTCCTCTCACCAGAGTTCTCTCGTGGTCTCTTGCAATATCAGACAAACCATATAATATATTTTTATGTGAATTTATTACAGTTTATGTCCTTGGGTAGGGAGGGGGTAAATGGGGGAACTTACATAGAGACAAGCACTCTTACGCCCCGGCTCAGAGCCCGCCACTCCAGATGCTCCCACAGCCTGCACATAGTCTCCGTTAACTTTCACCCCTATATCTTGGGCCCTCAGTCTTGTCCTAGGTTGGTAAATGCTCCCTCTCCTGTCTATGCTGGTGAGGTGCTGGGGCCATCTCTCTCTCCACACCTGCCACCCATTTCTCCTGGCTCCTGGCTTCCATCCCAAGATGGTGCAGAAAACCCCTCCCTAGTCCATTCTCCACAGCAGGCCCCACCCATCAGAGGAACCAGTCACCTGGGAGACAAGTCCCCAGGAACTGAAGTTTTGGACAATTGTTAGCCATCATGTGTGTGCTGGGGATCAAAACTAGGTTGTCTGCAAGAACAGCCAGTGCTCTTAACCATCGAGCCATCTCTCCAACCTCCATTTTTTAAATCATATAACATAAATTGAGATATCAATAATTAATTGTTGTAAATTTATATTATCATGTTTAAGTTCTGAAACTTGATTATTTGCAGCATTATGCCATATTACAGAAATTCTTAAAAAAGCCTAGACTGGGTATGGTGGTGCACACTTTTAATACTAGCACTCAGGAGGCAAAGATAGGTGAATCTCTGAGAGATTGAGGCCAGCCTGGTCTACAAAGGAAGTTCTAGGCCAGCTGGGGCTACAGGTAGACCTTATATCAAAAAAATAGAAAAAAGAAAAAAAAAGCCCGACTCTTAGCATCCATTTTCTGGTCAAGAGCAGACCTAAACTGCTGAGAACCCTTTCCTTCAGAGCGCTCTCTGAACTGTGCTCCAAAACAAGGGCTAGCCCTCTTTATTGAAACAGAATAACCAGCATGAAATGGGGAAGTAAAAATAGGATCATTACCAGAGAATTTTGCCCTTTGAGCCCTAGCCTTCCATACACACAAACTACAGTTTCTCTCATTATTGGCAATGAAATAAGCATTGTTCATTTGTAGCGCTTTGACATATAAAGCACGCATACACACATTTATGTATTATTTTGGTTTGTTTTCTTTTTGGTCTTTTTGGAGAGACAGGGTCTTCCTGTAGCCCCAGCTGGCCTGGAACTCACTACGTAGATCAAGCTGGCTTTGAACTCACAAGAGATCCACCTGCCTCTGCCTCCTAAGTGCTGAGATTAAAGGTGTGCAACATCATACTGGCTCATACATTATTTTGGGTGGAGGGGAAGGAAGGGTCATGAGGGATGAAGGTCATATGCCCAGGTCAGAAAAGAAGCTCATGGCTCTGTGAGCTTGTTTACATTATGAACAAGCTAAGAAGATTTTTTTTGGTTGCAAGGTTAGGTGAAAGTCATTTGTCCACAATGTGTCCACATTGCAAAAGTCACTCCTACAGTTATGTATCAACAGAGTTGATAACCAACACTGTGGAACAGCTGTGTCCATGCCAGTTGGTGTACCTAGTTCCATACTTTTCCTTTAAAACAAAAACTAAGCACATCTCTAAAAAAAATTAAAAAAAGACACAAGAGGGGCTGGAGAGATGGCTCAGCAATTAAAAGCACTGACTACTCTTGCAGAGGATGGGGTTTGATTCCCAACACCCACATGGTGGCTATGAACTGTCCTTAACTCCAGTTCCAGGGGAATCTGAAGTCCTCTTCTGACCTCTGAGGCATTGCACCAGACGGGTGCACTCACATACATGCAGACTATACACTCATACACATAAAATAAAAATAATAAATAAAATATTTTAAAAAGACACGAGACTCAATGCATTTTAACATTTAGAAATGAGTCATTTAACTTACTCAATAAGGATGTATTGAACATCAATATATAAGGGTATATAAGTAACTAGGGAATTGTACTATGAACATCTGTGATGGCTAATCTTGCTTTAGCAACTATTCTAGATCTGCAATCAACAGAAACAAAAGTCACTGGGAACTCATATGAGGGACTTTCTTGATCACATTATTTGAAGTTGGAAGACCACCCTAAATGTGGGCAGAACCTTCTGCTAGCAACCCAGATAAAAGGACATGGAAGAAAGAAGCTTTTGATTTTTGCCTGCTTGTCTTCACTCTTGCTGGTAAGTTTATCCTGTTGCTGCCGCATTCCTTCCCCTATCAGAACCAACTTCTTCAGGCTTCCAGGTAGACTCAAGACCAGCAGCTCTTCAGGGAACCTCCAAGGCCCTCAACACCAAATTGGGAGTGCAGTCTCCTACAACTGAGCAACTACCAGATCCTCTCCAGTTTGAGACAGCCATTGTTCCACTACCTGAACCATATCATGTAAGCCAATCTAATAAATCTCTTTTAAATACACACACACACACACACACACACACACACACGCACACACAATTAGTTCTGTTCCTTTAGAGAACCCTAACAGTCAAATTGAGCAGCCAATATCCAGTATAATGTCAAATACATTACTTAATCTGAACCAATTTCTTCATCTGCAAAATGAGACCACATACAAGGATTAAAATGCATAGCATACAAGTGTTAAATCCTTCCTGTGTACCCACCTGGACATTTATTAATTGCCCAAAGTGGCCCTCTCCAAAATGAAGGTGTAAATTTTGGTTAGTTTACAACTCAGCAGTCTTGACAGTGAGTTTTTAGAAACTGCATTAAACTACAAACCCCATAATGCACATTTTAAAAAAAGACAAAGCTTCTGTGTTATGGCGGTCTTTGGCGAGGGCCGCGCAGAGCCAAATCCTTATTCTCCAGGTTTTTCCTCGTTGAGACACAGCCTTGTCTTTCCCTCAAAACACGTGGTTTACTTTCTTTTGGATTGCTAACTTCACATTTTTCAGAATGAAACTTTATAGTTAAACCACAATTAGTGAAACTACCACATATATTTTTAACAATTGTTTGGGCGACTTGGTTCCCCAGACCTGTGTTGAAATAATTCACCTACTGAAGATTTAGTAGGACTAAGATTGGCAACGACTGTATCTTACAACCTTTTCCACACTTGAAAAAATGTGGGCTGGGTCCCCAGCCAAGCCCGGCTTGCCTAACCGCCGTTTCCGTGTGTGTTGTTGTAACGTCCGCCACGCTCCACATTTGCATGCGAGGGTGGATTTACAGCTCCAAGTGTCCAATCACTGGCGCGCTAGCACGGCCCGGCCCCGCCCACACGGCGCTGTGTACCCTGCGTGCGCTCTGCGCTACACCGCAGCCAGAGCTGCCGAGTGGAGTGGCGCGTGCCGAGGCTGTTCTGAGCTTCGCGCCCCGGAAGGCGGAAGACGCCGAAGTACCGCGCGCTGCCTGGACCCGCCAGTGCTTCTTCGCGCCCACCCCATGGCCCAGCTGTACCCCTATACTCTGTTGCGGGCCGGCCCGGGCTGAGGAGAGGTGGAAGGAGGGGCTCCCCAAGGAACGGCGGGGAATTCCCCCTTCCACCGAACGTTCCCGATTGTTCACCAGCCTCACGTCAGCAGCAGGGGGTAATCCCCGACTCCAGCTGCTCCTGACGTCACCGCGCTGAGACCCCCCCCCGCCCCCTTCCCCCGCGCGCGTCGGGGCCTCTAGGGCCTCCTCGAAGCCCCGCCCCCAGACCTGGCCACTCCCCTTCCCCTCCCCCAGGCGCCTGGCGTAGAGGGCGGAGCTTTCTTGACAGGGGCGTGAGCGGTTACTTGGGCCAGAAGGTTCTGTGGTGGAGGCCCTCCCTCCTGCTGCCCCGCCCAGTAGGTTCCTTTGCACTGCTTCCACACCCTTTCTTCCTGGTCTTTCTCGCCCCGCCTTCCTTCCCTTACTCCTCTGCCCCTCTAGTTCCTTCCCCGCCTCACCACCTTCCACGATCTCGCGAGACTTGGCCTAGAACATTGCGGATCGGGTCGGCGCCATTTTGGGACTGAGACTGGTTGTGGGGGAGGGAAAAGCGGCAAAAGGGGATTATTCAAAGTACCGAAAACCTCCTCCCGGGATCGAGCGCAGCGGCATCCCCAGGCCAGGGGCACCTCTGGTGGGGCGGAAGGTAATGCGGTCCCCTGGGTCCCGCGCCGGAGTCCCGGGGAGGAGGGGGTGCCCGTGTCGGCGTTGGGGCTTGAGGGGTCGGAAGCGGCGTTGGCGGCGTGAGGCGTGAGGCGGCGGGCGGCCGAGGGGCGGCGGGAGGCGCGGGGTGGCCACCCTCCGCGTTGACTCAGCGCAGCGGAGCGGAGGCGGCGGCTGCGCGGAGAGGTGGGCGGTCAGTCTCGGCGGCCGGTGGGGGGGGGGGGCTTAGCGGAGGCCGGGAACTGCTGGGGCACCCGCGGCGTCGGGCTTCCTCGGGCCTGGGCACGCGTCTGCTTTCCTGGGCGGCTGGGCCGGGGGGGAGGCGAGGCCGACCCGTGTGGCCTTCGGTTCTCTACTCGGGGGCGCGTTCCTCGCCCCGCCGCGCCCGGCTCCGGGCACTCGCTGCGGGCTGAGTCGAGCGCTGCCTGCGCCTCGGAGTCCTGCTGTCTCCGACCAGACTTGTTTTGAGGAGAGCACGTTGCTGATGAGGTGCACGAGAAGGGCCCGGTACCCCCACACCTTTACTTTGGGGGGTAGGGTGTTTCGTTAATCCAGGGACTGCGAACTTGCACCTTTATCCCACTGTGCTCTGGGGCCTGGAAGTCGGCCCCTCCGGCCAACCCACGGCGGCCCAGTTGGCCCCTTCCACCTCGCCCCCACCTCTCCAGCCTCGGTGGGCAAGATGTGCTCGCCTGGGCGAGACAGTCCCATTTGGAAGGAGCGTCCTCCTCCTCTTCCCTCGCTTTCTCCGAGTTATGTTTCCTAACGCTCCGTGGCAGCACCACCTGTCTGTTTGTTTTCCTTTGGTACTGTGACTAGAATTAGGGAGGATCCGTTGTGAGGTTGGGTGTCAGTTTCAGAGTTTAGTGTGTGCCCAGAAAGTTGCAGGTTTTGCACATACAAGCCCCAAGGTGGTTTTCCTCACCCGGTTCCCAGTCACGTCGGAACTCGTGCTCGGTGTTTCCGTCACTCACTGGTTTCTGCCCCTCCGAAGTCCTTTTCATTCAGCAGACTTGGAGTTCGCCTGGACACGGCTCTTTTCCAGCCCTCCTGTTAGCACTGTATGGAAGTGAATGTCTCTTCAGAGGTTGATTTTTCCAAAGTGGGGGTTGACTTTTAGTTGGAAATCAGAACTCTGTAATTTAAGTTTTTTTTTTTTTTATAACTTTTACAGGTG